TCGGCTCCGGCGCCGTGTCCCGCGCCACGTCGAACGCCTCGCGCGGCTCGTCGCGGCCACGGCGGAACTCCACCGAGGGGTCGCTCGCCACGCGGCGAACCTCCAGGGCATCCCTGGGCTCAGGCGCCAGACGAAACAACGAAACAACGAAACAAAGAAACCATCAACACGGCATGTTAAATAATCATTCATCGAATTATGGCATTATACTGAACATCATTTATAGTTAAAAAAATATAAACACAGATTTATTTTTGAAGGAAGTGGTGACATTGACTTAGGTTTCGCATTCCTGTTGTCATCCAAAGCAGTGGTACCTGAATTAGTGTGGAAAAAAGTTTTGACCATCATCTCGAAGGATCTTCTCTTGGTGATCAGCCTTGGGTCTCATTAATACGCCCATGTGTTTGGATGAAGCTATGTGGGGATCAATCTTGTGATCCAAAGTCATTCCCAATGATTTTCAGTTGACCAATGTTGACCAATTCATTGTCTCTGCCCAGTTGAGTCCCTATCATCCAATAGCCGGAAGCGTTGGTGGAAGCGTTGCTGTGCTCAGATGGTTTTGGGTTTTTTTGGAGTCGTGGAAGCTGAGCAATCAGAAACTGGTACTGTAAAGGGCAAGCTTTGCCGATTTGCCATGGGATCCAAAAAATCAAATGGCCATCGCTTTGTTGGAGTCAGCTCTTGATCTGCAGTCAGAAGTTTCATGAAGTTTCGAGAGCAAGCACCCAACTCCTGTGATGTCAAGGGCAACAAGCCTCACTGCTCTAAATGTAGCATCCAACATTTGGGAACCGTTGGAATTTTCTCTGAATTCTTCAAGAAGGCCTGTAACCACAAACAAAACATATCATAACATCGTATGCCTGTGATTTTTGCGGACTATCTTCATTTGCATCTCACTGATGACTCTCTCATTTCAGTACTGAATTAGGGCAGACGTCGATCTATGTACATTTGCATCAGCTTGATATTATCCATATTATCCTCCTTTCTTGATCTTCTTGACCTGTTTTGGCAAGGTCTTCAAATGAAGCTCTTTCCCACGAAGCGCAAGCGTCGAAGAAGAGCTTCGCGTGTCTTGGATAAATGGTGGGCCATGGCCCCTTCCAGCATAGGATGATAGAGATCCCCCCCTCTCCTGTCGGAACAGCAAGTTGTTGACAAGTGAATTGTTGAATATATGGTTTCAAAAGGTTTCAATGTAGTTTCTTTTTTCTCATAGATATATTCCAATGTATTCTCCCTTCATTCCCTATTATCAGATCCCTTTGATTTTTCATTTCCGATTTCCCAGATTTCCTTGTCATTCTCTTGCTTCTTACCCACAAAAGCCTCTCTTTGGATGCTTTCAGGCCTTGAGGATACCGCGCACCTTGGCGTCACCAGGATCCTGTGGGGGAACGAATTCATTGGCTAACCAGGCGACACCATCTCTTGAGACTCAGAAAATCTCAGGCAGAGAGGTTTTGAAATCATTTGAAATCAAAGACTGCCATAGACATGGATTGACCAAGATTCTTCCTCGCAATTGGGTGATTTGAGATCGGAACAGCTTTGAGAGTTCAATTCCTCCATTTGTGGTTTTGTTTTATTGGATATGTAACCTCCGATTTGATGCTCTGTGTTCGAGGACTTGGAAACCATCCTTTCCAATTCCAAGAACACAGAAGTCCAAAACATCATAAAACATCATAAAACATCATAAAACATCATAACATATCATAAAACATCATAAAACATCATAAAACATCATAAAACATCATAAGACATCATAAAACATCATAAAACATCATAAAATATCATAAAACATCATAAAACATCATAAAACATCATAAAATATCATAAAACATCATAAAACATCATAAAACATCATAAAACATCATAAAACATCATAAAACATCATAAAACATCATAAAACATCATAAAACATCATAAGACATCATAAGACATCATAAAACATCATAAAACATCATAAAACATCATAAAACATCATAAAACATCATAAGACATCATAAGACATCATAAAACATCATAAAACATCATAAGGCATCATAAGACATCATAAAACATCATAAAACATCATAAACCATCATAAAACATCATAAGACATCATAAAACGTCTTAAAACATCATAAGACATCATAAGACATCATAAAACATCATAAGACATCATAAAACATCATAAGACATCATAAAACATCATAAAACATCATAAGACATCATAAAACTCATAAAACATCATAAAACATCATAAAACATCATAAAACATCATAAGACATCATAAAACATCATAAAACATCTGACCAAGGTACGACTTGTCCAAATTCGAGGATGCCAATCTTCGGGCCATGGCAGCCACCATGGAGCCCATGTCAACCTTTAGCCCGATGCAGGTGCGTCTGGCGCCCCAGGGGCCCCAGGGCCAGGCCATATGACGTACATGGTTCTGTTGGGTGCTTTGTGCTTGAGGATTTTAGATTTTAGCACCCAAAAAACACCTTTCAACTGTTGCGAATATGTCGGAATTGCTATGGATTTCTTTCAGCTGTAGAATAGGTATGTTGCATTTGGATTGCATTTGGGTATTCGGGGTACAAGTATTATAGGTCGGGATATACAACTTGGATCTACTTCGACAGAGGAGAACATCCGATTTGACAATTTTGATGTTTGACCAATTTTGAGGCAATCTGCACGTGGCTCATTTGCCGTCTGCGGTGACTGCCGCGCCACCCACGCAGCTGGCGCCGTACCTTCCAGGCACTCCATCAGGCGCCACAGTCATGCGGTCAAGCGTTGAGGTTGTCGGTGCAGCAGTGCAGCAACAGCTGGTTTGGACATGTTTGGACCTTAGTGTAACTATGTGTAACTTCTAGTTGGATCTAGTTGAGACTTTGGTCCTGGAATGTTGTGGCCTTCTCTTATCAAGCTCCATGAGTTCTCTATGTCAGAAGCGACCTAGCTTAGCAGCATGGCATCAGCTGTAAACAAGTGTCAGAAACCAAAGCCCGCTTGCATAGTGAGAGGTATCTACTCTGAGCCCATGTCTGAGATGGACTATGGTCGCAGCCGGCCACTGAGCAGAGACACTTGGCTCGTATGACAACCCGAAATTGGCGGCACAAAGGTCTCCAGTGATGGTCGGAAATGTCTGCACTTGCCTCAAGCTCTGACTGTTCAGGAATCCAATGGAAGATTGGAAAATGAGCGATATGAGAGATAGATGTTCCTGCACCAAGCAGGGCAGCTAGGCAACCGCGTTACTTGGCAAGGTACCATCATCTGACAATCACAAGTAGATCAAATAGTCCGATTGACAAAACAACACAAACCTAAAACCTTGGTCAGGAGCCATGATGGAATAGCGTCAACGAAAGCACTACTCGTTGTAAGCATACATGAGATTACATGAGTCTCAGACAGGTCCCATACTCAGGTCATCAGCTGGTCATAATGGTCATAATGGTTGATCCTTAAAAAAGCTGTTTTGAATTGTCCAACTCGCCAGGACCCATCAAGTGGTTCCCTCTGGTTGAGTCCCCCCCTTCCAGAGTTGTGGCACAGCAAAGCTGTGGCCACAACCGATGCCAGGGTTTTAAAAAGGTGACCGTTTGAAAAATCCCAATCTTAACTCTTAATGGCACCGAAGACCTATAGATCCGGTAGATCTTTCTTGAATAATAGAAAGGTTGTTCTCCATGTTTGAAGGGACAGCCGAACATGAGGTGCTCGCAGTCACTGTTAATACCTATTCTGTCGGGATCTTGTGTTATAGTTATATCATCAGTAGGCACTGGCCATTTGCTGCGTCATTTCAGGCGATGTTGTGTTCTTGCAAGATTATTGTACCAGTGCACCAAAAAAAATGCCATGGCTCAAGTGACCCACTTTCGCTGTACTTTGAGCTGGCCATTGGGGCACGTCTTTTGTCGAGGAGTCCTCCGAAGGAAGGATAAGGCGGATAAGGATATTCACGTGGATCCAAAAGAGTCGAATTGATTCATCATTTCACGATCCAAAACGATTGTCCCACGCGTAGTCCATGACAATGGACGAGAGGAGCGCAGGTCACTTGGCACAGATTAGAAGTTTCGGCCATACGGGAAACATGGCTTCTGGGTCCAAGTTTGGGACAAATTCAGGTTCCAAGCCAACTTGAAAAGTCTGTCCTGCTCCTTCAAATGGTTTCGCTCCTTGAACCCGTGAGAAAATGTGAGAAAATGTGAGAAAATGTGAGAAAATGTGAGACATCAAATGAAATCACTCCAGACGAAACCAATCGGTCTGGGCGGTCTGGGCGGTCGCCTCCAAAACCACACAGCATCGCCAGGGTGGAGGCAGCGCTATGGCACGTCCCAACGTAACGCCGATATGACTTGAAACAGTTGAAACATGTTGAAACTGTTTGAAACCTTCTCCCTTGATCTCCGATTAGAATGGGACAAGATGGGACAAGGCAAGGCTTTTGTGACTTTCAGCGAAGTCGAAGTCTGTGTTTTCTGGCGTGTTGCCAGGTCGAAGGCGAAATCTTCGTGCCGTTCTCTGTGTTGCCGTTCTCACAAGGCGATGACTTACGACATCTTACGACTTACCGCTTGAAAAGCGCTAGAGATCACAAAGCAATATTCATACAATATTCATACAGTATTCATGATCTGTTTGGCCGGAGCCAGCGAGCCACTGACAAAATTTCTTCATGGATCAATATGGATTCTGCATATGGGCTGTCAGAACCTGGTATGCATGGCAATCTGTGCATAGTGACTCTGCCGTGTTTGAAGGAATCCTTTCCAAATTGCGAAAATTGTGCAGGTGTTTCCAATGAAGCAGTCCTTGGCATTCGCTTCCGGCACGGTGCCACAGCCTGCCACAGCCTTCCACAGCTGGCACGGTGGCATTCGCTTCCAGCCGATCGCTGAGCCTCGCTGCCACGCCGAGTCACGCTGCCATTTCTGGGTCAGTTTAGACTCGTCAGTTCCAACAGCTCCAACAGCACGAATACCAGGTCTCCACATCCACGCATCATTCCACCTATTTCCACATCAAACCATCTGCATGGCACAAGGGAGGAGGCCCACAACTTCAAGAAAATTCAACTTGCCCGCAAACCTGAAATACTTATGTCCGATAGCAGGTAAAATTTGCAAAGTAACCAACAAGTCCATCAAGAGACTTTCTAGAACCAGGATTCTCCAGGATTGTTCTGAAGCAGGTTTGCTTGAGATTGGTTTGAGATACTAAGTCAGCGCCCGTGTGGTGAAGACTTCGCGATGCCCATTGATTATTCAAAATTTGAGAATATCGAAGATGACTTGGATGGAGGCAGGTTCTTCCGTGTGACTGAGCCGCTGGTTTGAGGATAGTGCTAGCATCGACGAGTCCGAAAATTCCTCAAGCATCAACTGTGCTCTGCACCCCCAGTGACCGTGTCAGATGAGTGGCGGCAAATGCTGGAACAGCTATCTCGAGAGGTGCAACTATCAGTGGTCCAAAACAGATCAACATTTCAACAACACAACTTACGTTTTGATGCTTCACAACATGTTGAATCACCATGACCTCAGTTTTTGGAAAAAAAGCTCCAAGTTGGAGATCATGCGTATTTCCGAAATATTTCGTTCCAATTTCGTTCCAATCTCGTTCCATGTTGATGTTTTCAACGTGCTGATTGGCATTGGCAGCCAGTCATTTTGCCGGCAGTTTCCTGCAGGTAGCTTGCAATGATCCACTTTCACCACCCAGCAGGTGCGGAATGCTGCGGATGGTTTTTACATTTTTTTACGGTTCAGCATGGCTTCTGGCATGGCTTCTGGAACTCTGATCCCCTATAGGGGGATCCCATCCAGGTTTGGTGATGAGATGGGGATGGATCTGGGCTTTGATCCTGGCTATGAAATGGAGGATCCAGGCGCTGATCATAGAGACAGCGTGGATAAGTGTGACAGTTTTTTTTTTTTCGCTTTGGCTCTGCGCGTCTTTGGGCGATGTTTGAAGATTTTTGGTCATGTGATGTCATATGATGTCATGTGTTTTGTATGTTTTGTGAGATCTTGTTTGTCTATGTTTGTCTCAGGCTTCGAGGAATACGAGCCACTCGACTTTCCAGAGCTGCGGGACCAGGAGGGTTCCTGGAATCACCGCTGGAAATGGATCAACATTGGATCAAGATTGACAAAGATTGACAAAGATTGACACTGTCCAAGGAAGTATTCAAAGTTAAAGAAAGAATCATCAGCACGGTTTCAGACTTGCTTGATGATTGTGCAGTGGTCAGCTTGATGCACTACCTCTCAATTTCACCCGGTTTCACCCTTCTCCAACGCATTCTCATAGGTGATTTCAATAACCGCATTTCTTCAGGAAGACAATCTATGTATCTAAGTTTGTCAAAACTTTCAGGGAATTGCCTCTCTGCCTTTCTGAGAGATTTTCGGGGCGTAGGCCTTGCAGCTGATCCTGCGACGCTGCACCACCTCGCCATTTCCTGCCAAGACGCTTCCACGGCGGTTGCTCTTGGAGGATGGACAGATGGGATGGGCAACAAATGGGAGATGGGGGTGGGCGGGCATGTTAGCCAAGACAGGCAGTGTTCCTTTACTTGCATCACAAGGCAGATGGTAAAGCCTAAGAGCAGCCATTTTGAAGTGTTTTGAGGCAGTGAAGGTGTGTTTCATCCATTCCATCCTGTGGTCTTTCAGTTCTTTTGTGGCATGTGAATGTTGAAAAGGAGGCCATGGCAGTCCCAATCACTGTCCAATTGACCAGGTCCCCCAAGATCGCCCATACATTCGCAATATCGCTTCATTGAAGTCTTGCTAAGTCCCATCCGTTTTTACATCATCTCTTGTCATCTTTTGTCATGTCCACCTTTGTTTCCACGGTCACCCGGGGCTTCGTAGGCCGAGCTGCGGCTGCGTGGGCGGCAGCACCGCGAGGCGCTGCTGTGCTCCTTGGCGCTGCGCCTCGCCGTGGGCAGCGAGGAGGACCTGCCGGAGCTGCCGGAGACGCCGCCCAGCACCGACCAGGAGACGAACGCGACGAACGACCCACAGCGACTCAAAAAACCCTCATCCATTGGGAATCATTGGAAATCGAAGTAAAACAGCAATGGGAGGATGTTGATTTATGTTGATTTTATATGTTTTTCAATGCTTTAACAACGTTTAACACATTGTGTACAGATGTTTACAGAATTTTAGTTGAAATCATATTTTGTGTTCATGCAATAGGTAGCAGAACGGGTTGAAGCTTTGGACACCTGTGCTTAGGTGTGAGATCCATTGAGATCCAAATTACGATTGTCTATGGCTGACTTGAACAGGAGCAGCTGCCAGCGGAATGCTGGCTTGTCCCGGCTGCGGTGATCGAAATGGTCTGTGGAAGCCCTAGACAATCCTAGACATTTTAGATCATTTTAGCACTTCCAGAGTTGATGTGTCAATGCCGAGGTCAACATGTCATCCGATCAATGATACCTCTATATTATACCTCTGGAGCGGGGCGAATTGTGAGCTGAGGTGCATATCAATTGGGTGACCGCAACCATGCTGTGCGGCTGCGGGATGCTTTGGTGATCGTTGACCGCAGCATCCTTTCCAAGTGGCTCGGTAGCAGAACTTCCCTGCAGTTTCCCAAAGTTTCCATTTCCCAGTACTCGTCAGCCCTGTATTTCTTGGGATCCAGGCTATACAGTACTGCTATACATTACCTTTTCTGGTGGTGATTAGATGTGATTAGTATAGTATACATTACCATACATTACCTTTCTGGCGGTGATTAGTATAGTGAGTGCATGTGATGTTCATGCTGCAAGAATTAGGACCACCAAAATGAATAGGTGCACCAAACCAAGGTTTCGGCAGATTTTTGATTCATTTTGCAGTTTTTCTTCCCAGGCATTTGACGAAGCGGTTCAATGGTACTGCAGAGGCTTGGCATCGGGGTGACTTTGAGCTGTGGTCATTGGGGAAAACGGCAAACTGGAGGGACCGCTTAACACACTGGATTCTGAATCCTAAAATGGTTCAATGTAGGGATTAGATGCGACTAATAGATTTTGGATGCCCCAATTTGGATCTGCATTTCCACATTTTTTTTGAATTTTTGATGAGAAACTTCACACACACACACACAGCAAAGAAAGGTACTTTGACACAATTCACTTGAACCTATGTTTTTAGAATATCAGCGAATCCACTACAGAGCCATCTGATAACAGGCCCAAAAGCTGGGACTATTCCAAGCATGTTGTGAAGCAAATTACAGGAATTTGATACAACCACATCCATGTCATTGGTTCTCAGTCTCTGACTCAAACCTCAAACAGGCATTTATAATATTTATCATTTGAACATTTTGAACGCTCCATCACTTCAATGCTCTGCATGTGCAGGTACTTGACTTTGTCCCTCAGTTTCTGAACTTGTTGAATGCCTCTGGCTCCTACTAGCTGCTCACCGCTGGAGCATTCACAATCCAGGCAGTAGGATCACTGTCCAGATGGACATGAGATGATATGAGAAAATGTAATGTTCGATGTTGAAGAACCGTTGAGACCATCTTATTCCTGAGTTGGAGACCTGGCACATTTAAGTGGGAAGCACTGCGTCACTGCGTGCCTCTGGCATCACTCCTGGGATAAATCCTGCCATATTTCAGGCAGCAAATTGCGTTTCTTGTCATGGTCTAAACACCTTTTCTAATCCTTTGGATCAAGGCCCCTGCGACGAGGCGCCAACAGCGGACCAAGCAGACCAAGCGGACAAAGTGAAAAGTGACGCCAGCGGCACCTGAGACTTCCATCCTTTTTGTGCATAGAAAATTTAAACAATCAAAGTCTGGATGAAAATTCATCGAAAATTCTGAATTATCTGAATTCGAATTGAGGAGCGTGGAAGGTTTGCCAGACATTGGGACCTCCAAGTTGGCTGCTGAGTGACCTTTGGAGTATCTCTGGAGCGAAGGAATTTGCTCAGAATGGTTTGATGTTTGATGTTGATAGAATCCCAGTGGAGCAAGATTTCCTAAAGATTTTCCTTTCACCATATCAACAATAAAGCCAATGGGACAACTATGACGTCGAAAAAACTAGACACATGTTGTTATGAAATCCAAGATCAACCTCTGCTAGATCGTCTTGTCAGCTCCAAGGCTTGTCATTGGCTTCCGATTTGGCACACTGGATTCGCAGAAGCGCGTGGATAAATCGAAGGAGGCAGCAGAATCCAAGGAGAATCCGACATCTGAAACCAAACTGACCACCATGGACCACCGTTTTTGGTGCCATCGATGCACCATGATGCACCATGATGCACCATGATGCACCATGATGCACCATGATGCACCATGATGCACCCAATCTTCGACAAAATGTGCAGGCGAGCGTCAAGACACAGCTGACGTTGGTGCGTCAGGGTACGACCTGGGCGCCTGAAAACGCTGCTTTGGTGGGGGCACCTGGGTCACGTATGGTCACGTCATGTCCGGCCATAGGAATGGCCATAGTAGGAATCCGGAAGTGTCACATCGAAACATGGTATGATGCATCACTGTATGTAGTCTGATTTTTGACACACAGTCACACAATTGTAACATGTATATCATGTATATCATGTATGTCAATGTATGTATATTATTATATTATACACAAGTGTATATATCTCAACTGCATATTGTAAGCATTGACTGTTCATGTATCACACTCGATATCACTCGATCATCGACGGCACATGGCCTTGCGCTCCAAGGTGAGAGTCATTTTGCCTCAGACCTTGGTGTCGTCCTCCCATGGCATCATTTGTCGTCTGAAGGTACCCGTTGCCGCGACAGCAACTGCAACAGCAACTGCTGCAGCATCTCGACATGTTATATCATGTTATGACATGTTTGCTTGAATCAGGCTGACGAAATGCAATACTGGCGATATTTTTCAATCTCAGAACATATAGAACATGCAGCTTTGCTTATCTTCACCTCTTTTTGGTAGCATTCTATCTCAGAACAGGCTCAGTGGGAAGCCAGCAATCATACTTTGCTGAGATCTGGCCCAGGTTTTAAGCGAATTGCTAACATATGCTAAACTGGCTAAAATCATTACTTATCTTCACTTGGGTTTTGAATGGTTTTGATTGGGACACTTGGGACACTTGGGACACTTGGGACACTTGGGACACTTGGGGCACTTGGGACTTTGGGTGATGCAGCTGATGGTGACAAGACAAGATGCACTCGGATGGAATGGGCGGGGGCCCTCCATTCGAACTGAGCGATGTCGCCTTGGAATGGCGAGTTCTGCAGGTGCCACGGGGGTCTGGACATGTTTGGACATGGACTGCTTTGGAAAGAACATGAAAGAACCTTTCTCTATCCTTTCTTTACAGAACCTCTTTGTGACATGTTGATGTATCAGAAATGTATCATGCGGGTAGTCTTGCATGGCTGGTATAGGCCAAGCATTTTGCAAGCTCCTCTGGACTGTGACACCTGCATGGTCTGCCACCTGAAGATGCATCCCCGCGCTGTTTTTCAGTCCAAATTTACAACAGATGAGACATGCACATGGTGCGGCAGACTCCTTATCTACAGAACTTCCTACAAAGCCGCGTTTCTGTATGTTTCAAACACAGCAGCCCAAACAGCGCCCTGTGCAATGTTCAATACTTGGAAGACTTGGATAACTTGCCTTGAAGCTCCACAGGACTCCAAAGGCATCTCAAACTTCACTGAGATGGCTGAGTCATGCTGAGTCATGCTGAGTCATGCTGAGTCGATGTCGATTCAGTCGATGTCAATTCAGTCCGCTGGATGAGCGATGGCAAAGTTCCGCAATGCATCGGCGCCGCCGAGGACCAGGAAGACTTGGACGAGTTTGAGGCCGACCATGGCTGACCATGGCTGACCATGGGCTGAGCTTATGACAGGGGTTGAAGGTATTGGAGGTATTGATTCATATTGCTTCGCAATAAGAAGAAAAACTTCACTTCGGTTGAACCGCAGGTTTTCTTTATGTCTTCATTGGTACTCATTGGTATTTCATTGGCTTTCTGGCCGAATTCCACTGTTTTGCCATCAGAGGTCACATTGGATGCTCTATTTGCAGCCTCTCCAGGATTCGCATCACGTGTCACTCTGGCCTTATGCCTCAGCAATGCATCGGACGCAGCTTCTAAGATGCAGCTGAGGAGCTAATCACAACCGCCACAACCAGTGTGAATTAATGACATCCCAAAGCCATACAGGATACATTCACATCTGAAGGGGTCCAAGTTTGGACTTTTGCAAGACAACATAGGAGAAAGCAAATCAAGCAAATCCAGTCCGGAGACACTTTGCTAAATTCTCGGGTTTGAACAGGTAGAAAAGCTACGCAGCTACTGGATACAACCCATCCACTTCAGATCGAACACGCATGAGGTTGAAACCTTGTCCTTGGGCTTTGCAATCCCAAAGTTTGATGGCAGCTTCGGTGACATGCGGCTGCCGGCTGCGGCGGTTTTTGTGGGGATGCTCGCAGGAGGATGTGCTGCAGGTGGGAGGATTTCACGAGCAAAGTTCCGGCCGAAATGATTTTCCACTATTTTCCACCACCTGGACCTGCTCTTTCTCTGATATTCACATCATCAACATCATCAACATCATCATCGCAGATGCTGCGTATATGACTTTGGAGATCCAACGCTGACCGCAGCGCCGCGGAGGTGCTTTGGCCGAAGGACTCGGCCACCAGCGTTTGCTGGTGAAAATGCTGTACCTCGAGGCACTGTCTGCCTTGGCAACCACAGCTGCGACCCTTGGATCATCTTGGATCCCGTGGATCGATCACGGCTGACATTGAGCAATCTGTAGCAAATCTATACCAGCAGCATATGCAGCATACTATGAGTATAAATGATAGGACAAAACACCAACAATCACATACAATACTGACTGTAACTAAGAGTTTGGCTGCGAATGCATAGTTTCACTCTTGCCGCAAGGACCCAACCAGTCCGAATTTTCACAGGTTGCTTCAATGATATATCACAGTATCAACCTTTTCTTGAATCTATTTTGGACCTGTAGTTAAACCCCAAGTCACTTGGTCATTGGCAAGGACAGGCCCATGGCAGCTGGCCTTGTGTCGTTTCAGCAGCGGCATCGCCATTGGTGCTGCGGTACCGCCCATTTTTGCCTTGGCTGAAGAGCTGATTCATCCCAGGCAACGACGACATCGAAGTTCCATGGCTGCAACGCCTGGTGCAACGCCTGGTCCACCAATGTCCACCAATGTCCACCAATGTCCACCAATGTCCACCAATGTCCACCATCACCTCTTGGATTTTGGGCTGTTTTGGGCTGTTTTGGGCTGTTTTGGGCTTATAAAAATCGTGCACTTGGTTTCTGTCACAGATACCATCCCCTGCACGTTTGGTGCTTTGACCATGGCGTTGATGGGTTGAGATTCTACGGAGGGACATTCTGCCCTCGTGCGGACAAACTAGCTGTAGACTAGCTGTAGACTAGCTGTAGACTAGCTAGCTTATTCCTCCTCTTCGTCTGGCATTGAACTAAGGCACGAACGCATTTCTGTTAAGCAGGGGTAGCAACCCATGCTAGTCTGCTTGTCCAACGCGGATTCATGATAAAGGGTTGTGACTTCAAAAAATTGACGGAAGTTTGTTGAACTTCACTTTTGGTTGGGTACTGTACTGTTTGCGTCTACATTCTTTCCTCACGACTAAGCAATTCTCACATTCATTGGATTAGTTTTCGGAGCAGGAAACGAACGTCGTGGCAGTTTAAAGTTCCTGATTGCAAAGGTCCCAACTATTTGCCAGGAACCACTTCAGATACACACAATTTCAGAAATTACTAATTGGTGGATACTCTCCAGAGCGCGTAAAGTCTTGGTCCATGGTGAATACTGTGCCTGATATTGTATAATACATTGTACACATTGTATACATTTACATGTTTTTTTTTGTGTCATATGATGTCTTTTTTTCGTGATAGTGATGGGATGTTTTATTGGGATGTTTTATTGGGATGGTCGAGTTGACGAATCGACTGAGTTGAGGTCTGAGTCTGATCGCTTCCTCCTTCATCTCTGGCAGCGTGTTGGTTTCGCTCCTGGCTTGGCCCCTCTCGGTGGGTTGGACCTGGCAGGCCTTCTATGCTACAACAGGTTGGGTCCCATACGTAGATTCGACGTGGATCATTTACGAAGAGAAACTGATCACTTGAAGCAACTTGAAGCAGCTCGAACGTGAGCTTGAATGTGCAATTCCTATCAGACCTCAGTGAGGTTGCTGAAGTGGCCATGTGTGTGTATGTGTGTGTGTATGTGTGTGTGTGTTTGGGCTTGTTTGAGTCATCTTCTCACGCTGAGTCTCTTGATGACTGCCTTCTGTGTTGTTTTTCTTCCACATGACCTTGGCTTCTTTTTTTTTGGGGGTAAATATTTTTTTGACACAATTGGGTGCAAACCAGTTGCAAACCTCCGAACTGAGCTCCGGGTATGGAAAACCAGCTGGAAAACCAGGTGTGGTTCCACTCTTCAACGCTTGGCTGGTGAGCCGCTGGGTTCCAGAGTCTCCAACTTTTCTGCAGCATCAGGCAACGCAACGTCGGCGGCATGAGCTGTCACATGTGCAGCTGATTTTGATCATTTTTTTTTCACTCATTGATTTGCAAGTTGCATCAAGTTGCAAAGTTTCACTCCACTTGGGTTGATTTCAAGAGCTCATCACTTGGGACATCTTGGGACCAACTTGCTTTCATGTATGACTCCATTTCATGCTTTGGCAGTAGTGGACTTGCGGGATAATTTGTTGATCAGAACCGGAAAGACATGGAACGATTTCAGGTGGGCCATTGGACATCATTGAAATTGGACATCATTGAACATCATTGGACATCATTGGGCATCATGCCACTTTTCACTTCACTTTTCAGGGCCGCCGCGCCGAGTTACTTGCGGAGCTGCAGCGGGTGCTACCCACAGGGCCCACAGGGCCTCACCGGCCTTCCCTGTGCTTCCGGGTGGTACAGGAGAACGAAATTTGGTGCTGCAGCAAGTGTAAGACATGTACTTATTATGTGCTTACCTTTGCTTACCTGGTGAATCCTAGTGGATTCTTTTTAGGGTGAAGGAGAGAACAGAGAGGAATCACTGTAGAATTTCACGGAGGCAATCAATGAGAGGAGACTTGAGACCATGGTTTCAAGGGAAGAACTTCCTCTTCAATCAGCATCATCACTTGTGGCCCCATAGGAAGCCAATGATGGAGTCATCAGAGCCATAGAGGAAAGATCGATGAGCAACTGGACTGCACTAACTTGGAGAGGTGTGATGAAGTCTGAATGTGCCTTCTTTGATGATTTAGGATTTGGGATTTAAATGGATTTCACATGTTGAAAGCTGAACACTCCTGTTTTTCTTCATCAGAAACCGGATATCACTGGATCCTTTCGTCTCGCACAATCTGACATCAGTCCTCGACCCGCATTTTGTGGTGCAGGTGGGAGGCTTCAACTGCTGCGACCGATGGATGTGGTGCTGCGGCTTGCGGCGATTTGCTTCTCCATTGCCTTTGCTTGGTGCCTCTGCGGCCTCTGCGTGATGACATGGTAGAGTCTGGTAGAGGGTTCCGGAGGAACAGGAAAGAAGAGGAAAGAAGTAGAATCTAAGTCGAAGTGAAAAGGAGGTGTCATTTACTGTAATTATATCCATTGATATTTATAGTTTTTTTGATATTTATCTGGGGCAGGTGAGTTGATACATTGATACATGTTCATTTCCACATGGCAAGACTCATCGATCCAACTTCCTGGAGGTATGGCCTGTCCACTTGGCTTTTGCAGCTCTTCCAAGAGGTGGGCTTGAAACATCGCTACATCACTGCCATCGCCTATGCCCTTTCAGGCCAGCTTTGATCGTTCAACTTATACCGGTAACAGCCCGGTAACACATGGTAAGACCTCAGAGCCATACAGAGCCCCAGCGTCACCTCACCAGCAGCACCAGCGTCACCGTCCACGGAGGAGTGCCCGGCTGTGTGCTGGCGATCCTGCTCCGTTGCATGGAGCCACCGAAACTCTTGGCCTTTTGGCTGCTGCTTACGGCATTGAGTTGCCTCAGCATCAGCCGCTCGAAGTGAGCCAAATTGCATCAAATTGCATCAAATTGCCATGAAAACGAGGAAGATGCGAGCAGACATGATCGGACCATATCGGACCACTGGAAAGGGTGGGGAAAGGGTGGGGAAAGGGTGAGACTATGTGAGACTCATTTGCCTTGCCATTCTCTGTTCTCCATGCTTTGAGGTCTCATCAAGAGACCATCTGGTGACGACTCCGGTCCGCGACCGTTCTTTGCGGCTTTATGCGTGTGCCTTTTCAACAGCGTTGGGCACCCAGACGGATCACTGGCAAAGTTCAAACACAAGACACGCTCCATGGCCCATTCAATGATACGATTTGATGGGGAACATTAGGGTGCGTGCACCTATGTGCACCTTCGCAAGCAGTGAGCGTGCTTGATCAGGTCGCAACTGCGGTTTTCAATGTCTTGACCACTGTGTGACCCGCCGATAATCATAGAGTCTTGAGGGCTGACAGCAGATCATTATGATCACTTTTCCTTTGATCATGTTTTTTTCCTTCACAACGAATGCTTAGCCATTTCTTGAAACATTTGAAACATTTTGAAACCTGAGTGCTTGACATCAGTCCGAAACTATTTTCAGTCCCTTTCAGTCCCTTTCAGTCCCTTTCAGTCCCTTTCAGTCCCTTTCAGTCCCTGAGTCCTTTCAGGTGGGGCGCCCCCTTTTCTGCATCCTTGCGGCCGTTTGCCCTGGGCACCCTCTCTGCCCCTCGGGAATCACCGCAGCTACAGCCATGTTCGGATCATATTTGGATCATTTCTGATATGATTCTCACATTTCTATTACATTTCTACTACATTTCTCACGTTCTAAACTTTACAGTGAACAAAAAGATGGACCGTTGCATACTGTTGCTTGATTTGGGTTTTGATCAATGAGAAAATATGAAAATATGAGAAATATAATAGACATATCAGAAACAGAACGCAGAACAGCATATCGCAGCGTCAGTGAGTCAGGTCTGTATGCGCTTGGGGTCCATCGTGGCGCAGTTCGTGGATGGAGCCCTAGTTCACGGTCACATCTCCGAGATGGCTTTGGTACCTGCTGCTGCCTGGCCGATCGATATGGATGTGGCAGATGATGGACGGTGAATGGTTGTTGGTACATGGGTACAGGGCGGTATACTTTGCATATCTTTTCAGTATTTTATGCTTGGTACTTGGTTCTCATCTGATTCTCAACCTACTTTGATCTACTTTGTACTTGTTGAACATACAGACCATTCAGCGATGTTTAATGACTGACGGCAAGTGCAGATTCAACCTCGGTTGACTCGTGCCAGAAAAACTTGCTGGAAAGGTTTGGTCTTTCAGAACCCCACCCTGTCCTATCAATATCATCACAATATTATCTATCAATTAGCAAACGGTTGATGCGACTCAACAGTGTTTTATTACTCTTTAATACTATACTTTTTAGATCTTTTTATTTATTCACCCACAAAGCAGAGCACTTGCCACAAAAAGCACTCTTTTCGTCGGACTGCAGGTTCTGCTGGGCATGTCTGCTGTCGCTTGCTGGGGCATCATCCTTCCGAAGTAGCGGCGTAGCGCCTGCATCCCGTGGCCTCCATCAAAGCCTTGAAAGGGCCAAAGAAGATGGACAGCCTTGGTAGGGCAAGTCGCTACCGAAAAAAATGGCTGCTGTGTTTGACTTTGTGACTGCACCAGAATGACATGTTTCCATTGTTTTCCGTTTTCCTTCACGATTGCAGTACTTTATACTATATAAATTGTCTGTATCAAGCATGGATGGATGATTTTTTCTATGATTCTTTTCAGTTGCAAAACCAACTTGTTGCTCCAGCTGTAGGCATTTCAGATCATTTCAGTCTTGCAGGGGCGCTGTGAGTATGGCCGATGGGGCCGATGCTGTAGATCTGGAGAACTGGATGTCCCAACTCCCCGAGAGAATTCTACGAGAGCGAAGCATTTGTGAATTGGCTCTGCCAGGCGCGCACAATGCAGGTGCGAATTCTGTCGAGTGTATCCCATCTACGACCTTGGCACCATATATGGGAGAGACCCTGGCCAAGAGTTCAGTGATCCAAATGCTTGCGAGACCCATCGCCTCAGGTCCTGCACGCTGTCAATCTGAAAGTGTCTCTACACTTTTGCGCCGTGGAATCCGATTCCTGGACTTTCGACTTGGTCTCCACCAGGACGAGATCCGCATCTGTCATACAGTGGTGTGTTCAACCACCTATCAGACAGTTCTATCTGAAATTCGAGACTTTTTGGAAAACCATCCAGAGGAATTAGTGGTGCTCCTGATCAAACGTGATTGGGAACATAAGTATTTTGATACAGCCCACAACTGGTCAAGCGTGCAAGAGATGCTGATAGAGGAACTGGGTGGGATGTTGATGCTAGGGGACGACATGAAGCAACCCATCAGCCAGCTGGTGAAAGAAAATCGCCGAGTCTTGGCCATGTTGGAAATGCGGAACGGTGAACATCTTTGTGGAGTGTTGGCCACCAGCCGAAATCTCAAATGCAGTTGGAGCTCACACGTTATGACAGTGGCGGATCAAATGAAACAGATCAAAAGTTGGTGCAGTGATGGCATGATCCTGCCACAACCAGGCTGTTTGAAGTTGCTGGAACTTGCCATACCTGGGGTTCCATATTTCTCAGCACCTAAGATGCAGGCTGCATTCAGGGAATTCTTGAACAACACGACACTTCATGTCGCGACCAAGATTGACTTCCCAGAAACTGAAACCATTCAGAAACTTGTGCAGATGAATTGGATCCCCAGGAGTTAGAAAACTGGGATTTGCATCATAGAGTTAGTTGTGCAGATGAATGTTGATGATGCTTTTCAGATTCTTCAGCAACATCTTGGCACCTCATATAGACAATACACCTCAGATTCCGCAGTGGGCAAAGTCTCCATGGTCAAAAGGCATCTTAGCACCAAGCGTTCCAATGGCACATCTAGGCTTCTTGATCTCACGGGGGTTGGAGTGACAATCCAACCTTTCAACTTATGCGGCCTCGCATTGTGATCAAACCGATGCTTCTGGCACCCACCTGTACTCCGTGAACCGGTGGCAGAATCAAACGGACAAAAAGATCCGGAACGAAAGGGACGACTGACCCGACCAACATCGAATGCTTAGCTGAGTAGAGAAATGTTTATAAATGTGAAGCATGTTTTTCCCAACGCAATTGTTGTTGAGGCACTTGGATGTTGTGAGATGTGCGTCCGAAGCTGCAGCCAAGACTTGCTCACTCTAATCTGCTTCGTAGGGTCAAATTCACTTTGCTCCAGCAAATTTTCGTGGGGAGAGTCCAAGTCTTACCACAAGATTCCCATTGCCTGTCAGGTGCAACTGGCCCCAGATGATGCAGGTGGCCTAGGTGGCCTGGGGCAGTGGTTCAGGTTCATCAAAAAACGTTTCGAAGGTTTCTGCTGGTCTGCCAGAAAATTCATTGAGGTCCCTGGAAAACAATTTCAAACCTTCGAACACGTTTTCATACCTGGAAAAGGGCCTAGAGGGTGGTCCTTTTGTCTTTTATATCAACTGCATGGCCTGTATGTCACGCATCTCTTGACCAGTCCCTGACAAAACCATGTTAATTCCGATGCAAATGAAAGGTTCCAGCTCCAACAGGTTGCACATAGCACGCAAGAATCCAGGTTCCAAAGTGTATACAGGCTACAGCTGTTTTACCAGCAATTTGCATTGTTTTCCAGGCAATTATATAATTTGTTGCTTTCTTCTTTTCAGTTTTTTTTGTGACATAAATTGTGTTTTCGTAGGGAAACCCACATTTTGTTGAGGGCATCCTCCTTGATACCAGGCAGAAACTAGGTGTCCATGACCACTGATTCTGATTTCCTCTCTCCGCCACAGTTGCAGAATTGGAGCGCTGAGATGCTGTTTCAATATGATTCAATTCTGCAATATGCTTTTCTGTTGCTTTTCACTGTAGCTTGGCACATTTTCTCATAGCTTCACTCATGGTCCAACAGTCCGCTGGTGATTTGATTTTGATCTTCGACTCCGAATGATCCCGAGGTACTGTATGTGGCAGTCGCTGAGGGTGTTGTGCCCCGGTCCCACTAGGCCTGTGCATCCGGGTTGCGACATCAGACAAGTTCATCCGGCTTGGAATATTTCAAACCAAAGAGACGCTGCAGACAGCCATGCGTCATGAGTTTTGAATAGTTTTGACATGATGACATCTATCAGCAAAGGATGTGACACTGATGTGACACTAACGGAATTTTTAGGCTCAATCTTTTCCACTGCGAGGGGTGACGCCTCGGATTCAGGCAGCCAATTGCCATGGTGAAGCGGCAGCAAAAACCGAAGTTCAAGAGCCCCAAACAAAGGTGGAAAAACGATTGTCACTGGCACAAGTGATAAATTTCTCCGCTTTGTTTGTTCCCCAAAGCCATTTTGGGATGCACCACAACCTTGGGGACATCCATCAACCCATATCCATTCAAACTTGACTGCCAGGTGCTGAGAAGATCTTTTACGATATTTACAAAAAATTGCCGGCCAATGTGAAGAAGAAGCCAGATGCTCAAGTTGCAGCAGAATGTTATCGGGAGGCCGTTCGTCTCTACCCTGGTAGGAATGGCCAACAGCGGTGGCAGCGAACCACTGAAGCCATGCTGAAAAAGCTCCCGGTCCTGAAAGAAAGGCAGGGAGCGGCGGTGGGAAGCAGGGAGTGGAGATTGAGTGGAGCAGGGTAGAGCAGGGTAGGGATGTAAGATGGGCTGATAGTTCACATTTCACAGTTCACGCTTCACAGTGCACATATGTCACAACATGTCACAACATGTCACAACATGTCACAACATGTCACGACCATGTCAGATGCCAAAGGGTTTTCAGCAGCATGAGTCGCATCCCATGTCGAGGTATGACAAGGAGTTGGCAGTGGAGGACTTGCGTGGCATCATTCGCGGTCTTCTGGGTCAAAGGGACCAGCTTCGAAAGCAGATCGATGATCTTCAGAAAGAAGTGGAGAGCGAAGATCGGAATCTGTTTGAGGTTCGTTCGCTATTGCTTCAGAGCCAAGAAAAGCAGAAGGAGCTCCAACGTGTGGAAGCCGAACATGCACAGAAACAGAAGGAACTTGACATCGCAACTTGTGCTCTTCAAGCGATGGGGGAGCAATTAGAAAAAGCCACCGAAGAGAAAGAAGAAGAGAGAAAAAAGAAGGAGGCTTTAGCACAGGAAAAGCAGGCTTTGGCAGAACGATTGCAGCAGGAGCAGGAAGAGAAGAACCAAGTGGCTTTGCAGAACGAAAAGCTGCGAGATGCTCTCTGTGAACAAGAAAGCAAACAGAAGGAGATTGAAGAGCTATGCGCACATTCTCAAGATGCCTTACGAGAAGCAAGACTGGAGGCATTCCATGCCAGCCGCTCGATTTACAAGCCTGAAGTCCCTCTAAGATCTCGCAGCGGCAGCCGCCGCCCCCATCGCAATCTGCGGCGAGAGCAAAATCGAGGCCACGGCCGCCACCGCGGCCACGGTCGTGTTCCCGAAGTTCCCGGAGTTCCTCGCTCTGACGACATTTCCCGACGTCGACCACGTCGATCAGATCGACGATCAGATCGGCGCTCAGATCGAGATTACCGAAGGAGTCGTGACGGACGTGGCGGCCGTGACGTGAAGCACAGAGGCAGACGCCCTGTGAGACTTGTGCGAAGGAAGGGTTGACGTTGAGTCCGACGTGGACCGACAAAGCAAGCTGTGAGTTTGCAGATTTGGATGATTTGGGATGACGTAGACGAGCGCAGAGTCTTAGAATGCATTGGTTTGTACAGGTGCAGGGAGCAAAGCTCCACCAGTGCTTTGACTACATTGTCTACAGAAGAATGTGGCCGGCGGTGCCCGAGGGCATATTTTCCTTTAGCCAGTGCGTGCCGACACTTCCTTGGAGTGATGGCAGAAGGCCTGGCAGAATATGCAGAATGCAAAAGTGGCCCTGCAATTGCGTGTTGGCTGCCTGCATTTGCCAGCATTCTTTTGGAGGCTGAGAATCAAACAAATCAAGCAAATCAAACTGTAATATCAAACCGAGTCTGCGTGATGTTCAAGTTGCTGAGCTTTGGCAGGCACGCCACTTCCAATGATCACACTGAAGGACTTGATGTGGTGGGGCGACGTTTTTTGCAGCGACGGAAAAGGATCGTGATATATCGTGATACTAAATTGATGACATTTGATGATATTTTGATAACACAAGTCCATCAGAATCCGATCAGAATTCGCTGTCCACGGCCTGCTTTACATTTTTTTTGACTTTCTTTGATTGGCTGTTTTCTTGGGTATGTGCAGCGTCAACTAAAGTTTGATACTAAGATTGACCTATCAACTTGACTCTTACTGTCATGACAACCAACGCTGAAGGCCACAACATATCATATACGTTTTGCAGAGTAAAATTAGAGTAAAATTGACTCGGTCTTGTTCTGTCCTTTCTTGTTGCAAGCCCATCTGTTCTCCATTTCGCAATGTGTATTGGTCATCTATAGTCTATAGTCATCTATATACTCTTTATAGGTCCTCTATGAACAGGGTGCATCTCCATGTAATTTCAGATGATTTTCACCTCAAAGTTTCGTTCCAACTGCAATTGTTCTCCCATGTTCTCCCAGCTCGAGCATCAATGGAGTCTGGGAGTCTCCATATTGACTCGCCAGGGACCCGAACCATGTGACGACTCACAAGGAGGACAGCAATTTCATGTGACCTTGGTAGCATGCGTTCGCAATGATTACACGCTACTGACACTGCGTTTTGATGCCTTGTGCATGTCAACCTGATTCTTCGGATTCTCAAGTTTAACCAGGTGTCATGCGTTTTTTTTGCATACACATTTTCGATAGTTCCTTGCCATGCCCTTCTTTTTAGGTGATTGTGGATGTTTCTGATGGTATCTATATAAGTTGGTTTCTGAGCAATGAGATCATCCGTAAAGTATCTGACATATGTAGCATTCGTGTGGTAATTTCACTGCATTCAATAACCAATCCCCAGTATGAACAGGGGGCATTTCCCATATTTCCCAACTCTGCAAACATATTGATGATTCATTGATGATTCATTGATGATTCATTGATGATTCATTGATGATTCATTGATGATTCATTGATGATTCATTGATGATTCATTGATGATTCATTGATGATGTTGACCTCAAATTGTCACTGAAACCATCTGAAACCTGTTTCTGCCGCAGCATCAAAGAGTTGACCCGGACTTTCAGCCCCCAGCTTCCATGGCCACTGCGACTGCCACCGTGTCGGTCGACGCCGTCACCAAAACGGTTGTGATGCCTAAGAAAAAGGAAGTCTCCTTCTGGAGCCACGGCAAAAATCTCCAAGCCCTGTTGTATTTTTCATGATTTTACAGTGGTTTTAATATGTTTTAATTGTTTCTGCCTCATTTTTCTTGCTGTCAGATCTGTCAGATGCATTCTGAGTCTGCGACTGCCACTCCTCCTGATGTTTTTGCGATCTTAGGAGGTAATGCGGATGAATGAGGAAGGGTTTTATTGGAAAATAACGAAACCATTGCAGACTTCCGTGCCAAAAAACGATAAAAACGTCATTTCTTTATGGATCACCTGTAGCCACAAAATTAGGATTTTGGCTCTCGACATATTCCACATTTCGCTGACATTGACATGATGTGCGCACCTTGCACTTGAATACCTCAACATACCTAAACGATCCTAAACGGATATCCATGATACTATCTCACAATTGCTATATCTCACACATATGTGTATACGTATATATATATATAATATCATATTATATATATGAAGTTCTGCGAAAGACGGTGAGTGACCTGCACGTTTTGAGGGATAAGCCGTGAACATGAGTGAAACCTGATTACCAACCAACCAGAACTGTATGTCACTATATTATTATTATTGTTATGATTTTATTTATTGTTATTATTACCATTATTATTATTGTTATATGTCACTATATGTCACTATGGTAGATGCTATGGTAGATGCTATGGTAGATGCTATGGTAGATGCTATGTAGATGCTGGCGACAGATGCGTCCCAGGAGAGAGGCAGCAGCTTCTGCCATTGGCGGATCCATCCATGCGATCATCGAGCAGCCGATCACCACACCGATTGAAGCTTCGATCACACAAACTCAGGTCAATGGGATGCTCGGTTGCATCTTAAAACAGCCTTGAGGGTCAGAGTCAGCAACTCATGGTGGATGCCATGGTGTAATCCAACATTGAATATATTGAGTTGGTTTCACATTGTTTCACTGTTTGTATTGACCATGCACATATTGGAGCTTGTGCTCGAAGTTTAAGGAAAAGCTTTGTGTGGAACTTCAAAGAACTTTTTCGTCAAGGTGCTTTGTATCGTGCTCTGCCAACAGCACTTGTGGGAGCTGTACCAAAGGCCGTGATTCACTACTCCATTCTGAATTTCTATATCAACTCCTTTGCCCCAGAGGGTGACATGAAAAAGGCCGATGGTCAAACTGCCACCATGATTGGTTCCTGGGCTGAGTGTCACACGTTGTTTTCACCCTTTGCCCAACTTTGCCCCATTGCGTTTACGAAAACCTACTCACAATATGAAATGCGCCAGTGGCCTTGATATCCTTGATCACAAAGGTGTACAAGTGTCATCACCATTCATCACCCCAATCCCAGTACTTGTAGTTAGGATTAGAATGGATTAGAATGGATTAGATACAAGTTGATACAAGTTGATACAAGTTGATACAAGTCCATTGTTCTTGGGGGTTGGTCACCTCTCAGGTATGGCAACCGGGGCATCCGAAGTCATGTTGGTGAATCCCATCAATTTTGTGAAGTTCCGGATGCAGCGGCCCGAGTGGGGCTACACGGGAATGCTGGATGCCATTCAGACCATCTACCGCACCGAAGGTGTGAAGGCGTTCTGGAAGGGTGCAGGAGCCGTCTTTGTGCGAAACACCATTTGCAACGGAGGCATGGTCGGTGGCTACAAGTTGCTTGGATCACCCCAACCAAGTCAACATCAAGAGTAGTATAGCCAGTATAGCTTAGTAAAGTAGCAGGAGTGTCACTCTCATCAGTGTCGTTCTTGGTATGCTTATACCTTTAACCATCATGCAAACAGTAATCATCATCTTGGCCACCTTCACAGGTAGTGCAAGAGAGTAATCAGCATGAACAGTTGTGAAGGATGTGGTTTCTCCGTGACAGTTTCTAAAACAAAGCTTCGTCAAACACCACCACGGGTCTGGCCAATTGGGCCGTTGAAGATGAGGAAAGTTGTTGACACTTTCTCTTTTCAATCTTTTCCCAATTGTCACAAGAATCAGTTGAATCAGTTGAATCAGTCCTGCGTCCTGATTCAAAACGCTTCCCTGAAAACCAGCTGCCAAACAGCTGGTTGCTGATTGGATCTGACTGGATGTCACTGGCCACATCAGTCTCTGAGGTTCACAGAGGTTGCACTGAGCTCATCCTTTGACCTCCCGGATGGTCCAAGACATATGGTGTCTGGTGCTTTTGGTGGCATCGTGGGCTCATTTGCAGCTTGGTGATGTTCATGGCTTGGGAAACTCTGGAAACCACAATGAAACCACTAGGTAACTACCAGGTAACCACGGCTCTACATTCATGTGACATCATGTGGCATCATGTGGCACCATGTAACTTGATGTGACTGCTACAATTTGAGGATCTCCAAGCTGAAGCTGGTACGGCCCTGAGGTCAGCTATCCTTTCGAGATGATGCGAGCAGCGAGGACGCACAACATTTCCTTCATGGATGAGATCGTGCGCAAGGGTCCCCAGAGGATCTTGGCGGGCTGGGCACCGGGAGCCGTCCGGCTGGTGGTGACCTCAGCCATTATGGGATCCATCATCCCACACCTCAAGAGCTTTAGCGAAGCCATGGTCATGCCCTCCGTTTTGGACTGACCAATTGGAATTGAAATGGTCTAGAAATGGCTTCTGTCGAAGTCTGGGCCAATGGGGCCTAGCAGCCAAATTGGACTTGTGCCGAGCTGGAATGATGTTTGGCAAAACCAGTCCACTGAGAAATGTCTCAGTGGCGCTAAGCATTAGGCACTCTGCACAATGCCGCAGCTGCAAAAAGTCGGTTCATGTCTGTTGGATGGGCTTGTGGATGCCAGTCATCAAGCCACTGGCGAAATGCATAGAGCCGCATCCATTGAAGGCACTGGCACAAAACTGGCCTATGTCCAGAGAAGATGACCGGAGGTCATCATCACTACAGGTCTTCTAGAACTTGAAAAACCAAGCGGCGCGAAGTTGCTTATAGTTGCTTGCCAGGAACTGATTTTGTGGAGAGTTTGAAGTGATTCAGATTCATTTATATTATATATTTCTATATATTTCTATGTATTTCTTAATTTTCTCAAGTTCATCCAAGATATCGCGCATTCCGCACAGGTCATGGAGATATACAGGTGTAGCAATGACCAGCTTGCGCCTTGCCCTTCAATTCCTCCAGGATTGGAATCGCCAAGGGCTCCTGAGGTGCGCTGATCAATCTCTGTCGAAAAACTCCGAAAAGTTCAGAATTGGACCATGATGGGTCGGGGACACTTGTTGCACCCAATCAGACTGTCAAGATCTTTCAAGATCTTTCAACCACCTATAAATGTTTGTCTTGAAATAGTGGACCAGGCATGTTGTTGCAGAGCGTTGGTATGGGCAGGTGTAGCCGCGGTGTAGCCACCCATTCCGACGTTCATTTTTTGCAAGCTTACTGACCGCACATGTCGGAGTCGGGAGGCATTCGATGCCCAACAACTTCAATGACAAGGTTGATGGCATTATTTTGTTCCATGAGTTGTGTGGTATGAGTTGCGTGGTGCTCAAGTGGAATCGAGGAATTGCACGTCAGATCACGTCAGATATGTAGCCTTTGTAAAGCAAAGAAGCTTCGAGATGCTTCGAGTATCCGGGCCACGTTGCGTCATCGGCTCAAGACTAAAGCGGGAAGCGGGCTGGGCGGCCAGGCAGCATGGGAATTGCCGTTTGTTTTTGGCACAACGAAATTTTATTTCACATTCATCACATTCATCACATTTTTCTGGCATGTTTTAGATCGTTTTAGGTTGAGTTGAATTCAAAAAATGTGGGACATGGGACAACAAGCAATGGTGAACACGTTTTGGGCATGTGTAGGAGGGAAAGTCAAGAGCTGAGGTTTACACCAGTTGTTAAGACCAATGCAGTGTGGCTCAACATAAAGGGTTGTTTGACACAAGAGAAGATCAGAAGATCCCCGGGTGTGGTCCAGAACCAGTTCAACTCTCTCTGCTGTTAATGGCTGTTGATGGCTGCTAATGGCTGTTGATGGCTGTTGTATCCCCATGAAACTTCGTCTTTCCAGGCGCGCCATGCCGGTCCTCCAAGGTGGCGACTGGGTCCAAGCCTCAGACGAGTCTATGGAGGAATTGATAGAAATTATGAGAAATTGACACAGAAATTGACACAGAAATTGAAACATATTGAAACTTTGGGATGACGATTATTTGATGATCTGATAGGGAATGATGATGAATTGGCTGATGGTAATTTTTTTTAAACGAACATGTTATTTTTAGGCAGGAAGGCAGGATGAAGGTGGGAAGCAAGACTTTTTGAGTTCTGTGCTTTCTGTGATATCATGGACCATTCATGTCCCTTGCACCGGCTGAGTACTATGTGGAGGGTGAGAAGCCAGGTCCTTTGAAGGAGCCAGAGCAAAAGGCCGACATGTTGCTTAAGTGGTCTTGTGACACTTGTGGGTCGCAAAATCAATGCGGGTAACGCTCCCCAAAAGGCCCAAAAGTATAATAGTGTTTAAGTTGTGGGACAAGACAAGAGGACGACAATGGTGCGTATGCTCGGAAGCACAACATGCAATTGTAAAGTCCGACAAGACTTGCAGAACAGTGGACAGCTTACTTGCAGAACAAGTCGGAATCCATTTAGATCTTTCAGGCAAGTTACTATGGAATGATCACTGCAGCGAAGTTTCCAATAAGTAAGTTATTTATGTTACTTTCTTTCAGTTTTATTGGATGTGCCCTGTCAATCCTGTGCCAGGCTGAGAACAAGGCAGGGCATCGTCCCCTCAACTCGTACCAGTTGCCCAAATGGGTTTATCACCCTGAGCGGGTGAATCGAAGGACTGCAGAGATATTTGGCGTGGATGATGTGGATGTGATCTTTGTGTGTTGCCGACATAGAAAAATAACAGATGGTTGTCAGATGTTGTCAGAATCGAAAGTCCTGATGCTTGTGAGTCGAGCAAATCTCTAGTCTTAGAAGCCACATCCATGTTTTGGGATCAGACTGTAGAGTCTTCCTCATCACCAGCGTCTGTTTTCATCGTTCAACGCTTGTGTTGTCCACTGTGATGCTCATCATCATGATCCCACTTTATCCTATTCATATCGATTTCAATCTGTTAATTTCTTCAATCGACTTAGCTGGTTGCCTATGTTATCTCCAAAAACCATTGGTAACCCCAGTGGTAACCCTGGTGGTAACCCTGGTGGTAACCCCAGTGACATCCACAGGATTGTCATCAACAAGGAGGACTATTTTGGAATGGCCGCGGATGGTCTGCGGAACTTCGACCTTTGGAATGTGGCCCATGTGGTCTGCTGCACCCAGCTGCCACTGCCCAGGATTTTGGGGTGTTATATGAGGTGTATTCTGCAAATTCTAGATATCAGATGGCCGATATAGAATGATATGGAGATAACGATAGAAAGATGGAACGATAGAAAGATAGATGAACATAGCACATTTGGATACATTTGGCATATTACTTACCTCCGAAAACAACGGACATGTCATGTAGCGGTTGATGTTCTCAACGTGCACTAAGGCTGCGTGCCATGATGATTTGAAGCTCTTGTCTTTGGTGGAAAACTGAGTCGAGTCGTCGAGTCGTGCACATTTGGACATATTTGGACAGCGAAGGCGGTGACTTCACCTGGGACCTGGGATCACCGATCATCCAAGGCCACACTGGAGCAGTGCAAAGAGCCTAATCGGTGAGGGTCCTAAAGGAACCGGATTCAGGTTTTTTTTCACAACAACCATCCAACTGATCACTGGGGATCTAAGGAAGCAAAATGGGCCTTTATCATCCTTTATCCATTTGGGATATTCGAAAAAGCAAAATGGGGTGTAGCCAACACATTTTGGAATACTACCCGAGATTTAACGAGCAATCGGATGGTGGTACCCAAGAAACATTGGTCTCTTCACCGAGCTTGGCTGGTCGTTTCTTGTGAAATGCATAGCAACAGCACCAAAACCATGGTTTTTCCCAACGGAAGTGCATCTCCGGGCTGTTGTCCAAGTGCAGATGCGAAACAACCGGCTTTTCTGCAGGTGGGGAATGACTCCAATGCACATGACTGGATTGGGCCAACATCCTTATGGTGCACCTTGCATGTGATTTCGTCAATTTTTCCAGGTACTCCCACTTCCCAGTTCTTGTGACATGCCAGGCCCATCCTTGTGTGTCTTGTGGGAGCTGATCCAAATTGGGGCTGCTGATCCAGAGGCGCCATGGTGCCACGGCTACGGTAACGGATGTTCGCGGCGGTATTCCCATGTGTCATACATCATTTTGGCATATTTTGGCCGATTGCAAATGCACCCAATATTATTGAAAGAACACACATATGCTTTGTCACGAAAGCTAGCTTCTGCTAGCAAGGTATTTGGGGGGGTTCGATGGGGTTGGAATCTCCAATCGCATGGAACATCATACTTAACTATCCCCGAGCCTCAAGTCTCATCAGCTCTTTTGCGTAAAGTCTTGTTCGAAATAAATCACAGTAAACAGTCCACGGTCAAATTGCTTTCAATTGCCTGCATTTCCTGTGGGTTTGCCAGAATTCCATAGAATTCCAAATTACTCTTTACAGAGCTATATGACTCACTTTCGTTGGATTGGCGTTCTTTCAAACTTTCGCATCGTCCACAGATGTGCACTGTACAGGCTCTGAATTCTGCGGATCAGAGCCCATGGCACATTGCCCAGAGGATGCAGAAACCTTCACATCTGAAGAAGTGGGAGAAGGTTCCATCCCCGAATTGACCCCAAAAAAGTCAGGGACCCGGGAAAAAGGAACCTGTTTTTCCCAGTGTTTCCTGTAAGATATATAATATATATATACACATATTATACATAATATATATATATATATATTATATATATATATTATATATATATTATATATATATTCCTTTACAATCCTTACACAGATAAACTCTGTGACTGGAACGACTTCATGCACAACAATCAGTAGATGAAAGTCATAAGATGCGCACTTGGTGTGGAATGCTTTGAACTCAACACCCATTAAGACTTGAATTTGATGTTTGTATATTTTTGTTGCCAATAACCAGCATGATTTGTAGCTCAATTTCCCCAAGGTTCCATTTATAGCTCTGGTCTCAGTGCAGGTTGTCTTCAAAGGCACTAAGCCGGATGAATACGAAGCCCGGAAGCAGGCGAACAGACTGGGCAGGGTCAAGCCAAATCTCCTGAAAACTCATGAAATCTCATGGGCTTCATTGAACATCATCGAACATCATTGAACATCATTGAACCACTCTTGCAGTGATTTGGTTCTCTCATTTTCAGGTACTGCTCAGACTGCGATGAGACAACTTCCAACTTGTCACCCCGACACGAAAAAACTATGGGTTGGTGAGGTCTCACAAATGGGTCAAAATTGCATGTCATGACTGAATGTTTGAATATGTTTGAATGTTTCTGTTATTTATGTCACGACTAGATCTTGTGCTTGGACACTCCTTGGCCATCTCGGGACTCGGGAGTTTTTCGGGAGCCTCTTGGGAGCCTCTCGGCCGAGCACGGCCGGCAGGCGCAGCTGAGACCCCGCGGCAAGTTCGCCAGAGCCCTAGGGCTGGAGCCAGTCCAACGTGAGGCGCGGAGCGACATCATGCGACATCTGTCAGAATCCACAGATTTGAGTCATGGTAATGGTATGTCATGGTCTATCCAGTCACCGAAGCCCAACATCTAGGGTGGAACACGGTGGAACATTTTGAAATCGAGAGGCTTCGTCTTTGCCAATGTGGATTACACTGTATTGCAAGTGTGATTTGGATAGATTTGACACAAATGCGGTAAAGAACTCGGTTTGGCATTTGCCCAGGGACTTTTTGCCAGATTTTTCATGAGTTTGTGCCAATTGGTGCCTTTAGATCCGGCAAAAGTTGACTCTGCTCCCGACCGGAGGATACTTCGAAGCCTCTTCCAGTTTGCTTAGTATTCCCAGGCAGGGAACCTGAAGAGGTGGAAGCAGTTTAGCCGAAACGTGAATGATGTGCCAGTGCCAGTTCACCCGATATCTTCAAAAAGCCTGCAAAATGAAGATCCTGTCCACCCCTGAACAACCCCCTGACGGTGAAAGTATTCGTGTTCAAAGTGGGGACTTTGTGCATTGCAGGTCAAGGCTCACAATACGTGGGCATGCTGCAGCAGCAGAAGGACTTGCCGCACCGACAGTACCATCCACTTGGTACCCTCCAAGGGGCCTAAGAAGGAAATGTTCTGCGGTCTAAAAACACATCTTCGAGTGTTGGATTTTAGGATTTCCAGAAAATCCCAAATTCCTGTTTTAAAGCTGGCTTAAACACTGAACTTTTGCTGAGAACGTTGTATTTTCTCGTTTGTTATGTTTGTTGGTCATATCATATCTACGTCACTGTCTATTTGCTTGTGGTCCATATCCACATTTTTCCAGTCAATTTCCCGTTTTAGCTGATCATGCTGGCTTCCTTCCCATTTGTGTGGGTCATTTGTTCAGAACACTCCCAATTCTAGCTGGCGTCAGTGACACCAAAAACAGTTTAAACGCATATTACAAAAACACAAGTATGAACTAGGCAAACCTATAGACAATCAACAGTGTAAACAGTATACGCTACACTCTCAAAACGAAAACAAATATGACATTGAGATACATCGAGTCCTTCCTCACCACACCTGACCACTGTCTGACCACCAAACATTCTCATATATATATATATCACATAATTATATATATATATATTACATTATATACATATACATATATATTATATATATATATTACATATATATATATATTACATATATATATATATTACATATATATATTACATATATATATTACATATATATATATGATTATTCCCGAAATTCTCCGAAATTCTCCGCACTCCAGGACCTTCCAGTCGTGCGGCAGATGTTGACGAAGGCCAAGGAGGTGGAGCGATTGCAGCGATGGCAGCGGCAGTCATGTCTGGTCAGAAATATCAAGAATCACATCTCAAGTCTGGAAAAAATATGTCATGCATTTTTGGATATTTTGTCTGTTTTCTAAGTTTTAGATTTAAGTATTGTTGATCAAAATTAAACACAATATCCAATATGGCAAATATGGCAAGGTTGGTCAACAGCAGCAGGTTACAATGAAAAACAATTTTGGGTAGGAACCAAAGACAAGGGGGGGAAAGGACGGGAAAGATGGGAACCCAAAGAGCCTCTCCAGTCTTTCCCTCTATTCTTTTTGGATGAGAGTGTGCAGAATTTGATGGGTCTCAACTTGTCTCGCTTGTTTGGTCAGATCTTGGGCTACGACCTGGAGGATGTCATAGCTAAGGGACCTGAAGAGAAGTTGGAAGCTCAGGAAGCTCCGGGAGATCCTTACAGCTTGCCTTTCTATGATCTATGTGCATCAACCCAGTTGACCAGTTATATACCAGTTGTCACAAACTTAGGTCATCCAAGTCATCCAAATCATCCAAATCCCACCCTGCCCCGAGTTCTCAGTGCCACAAAGTCGCCATGTTCGTCCCTTGAAGTCCACCAGGTCCACCAGGTCCACCAGGTCCACCAGGTCCACCAGGTCCACCGGCTCCGCATTTCGTCCCAGGTTGTCCCAAACAAAGTACTGTCAACCTGCCATGTGCCCTGGGGCTTGGAGCACCGGAATCTTCGCCCAGGTCCCCAGATCCAAATGATCCAAATGATACCCTCTGGTTATGTCAAAATAGCTATTGAAAATTGCCATTTATAGTGGTTTTTCCCATTAAAAATTGTGATTTTCCATAGTTATGTTAAATTACCAGAGGGTACATGGCCACTGAAGATGCAAAAAAACACAGCGATTTGCAGTCAGGCTCAAGGCCGTCCCAAGATGAAAGGCGCGGACCACCTCGAAACTGCGCCTTTTCTGCAGATGGAGCCCAAGACTTGGCCGTCGAATCAACAGTCGTGGCCGGTCACACAGCCTGAGCCCACTTGGGATGTCTTCCATCTTTGGCCACACGACTGAAAAGAGATGTCAATGTAAACACATATTTTAAGACACGTTTTGCAGCATACTGCATATACTTTGAGAACATCCAATCTACATCCAATCTACATCCAATCTACATCCAATCTACATCCAATCTACATCCAATCTACATCCAATCTACATCCAATCTACATCCAATCTACATCCAATCTATCTGTCTGGTGTTGCTGTTTTTGTTCTTTACTGAATCTTTACTGAATTTTTACTGAATGTTTACAGTTTTTTTTCTGGCGAAATCGCCAGGCCATGTGGAGCTTGCGTGCCCTTTCTTGCGATGATCATATTTCCTTTTCTTGTGCTCTTCTTCGTGATCTTTTGCGCTATGAGTTTGGTCACCGGCATCTTATGTTCGGGTCCACTGTCCTTTGGCTGTTGCTGTTTGTATTCCTGGAGATTCTCCAAGTCCTGGCAGACGGACCTCTATCAGAAGGTCATCTACTTGGCGTACTACTTCGAGAATCGAGGCTTACCACGCCCACAGGTACATCCCAAATTTATGCCGGTGGACGATATGAAGCCCAAAAAGAAACTTGAGAGTCTCGGATGTCTTGGGCTTCAACAAAGCTGTTGGTTCATGTTGTTTCTTTCTTGTTCTATGAGTTGACTGGACAGGTTATAGATCCACAACTGACATGGATGCTTGGCAGACTTCAAACATGTTCAAATTTCAAATAAAAGTGTCCGTGAGGAAAGAGTATCTGGACTACGGCTTGAACATCCAAGTGCCAAAGGGTGGTGAAGATCAATTCTTGAAGCTCCTTGGCGATGCTGGAACCATGGGAGCTTGATGAAAATTGAGCTGGAACCATTGATGAAAATGACTTGAGACGTTGGATGTCCAAAGCTCCTGTTGTGCGTATGACACATCGAAAAATCTCTGTGCTGGTCTTGATAGGATTTCTGCAAGAAATTGATGTCATCCCATTGCCGGCCAAGGGAATACTACACTCCAAAACTCATGGAGAATTTCGTGGAAGATCGTTTGCACTGGCTACCTATCAGCATGCATTATGCAAGCTTTGGACCAAATGAAAACCCAGTGGACTATGTGATGAGCCAACTGTCACCAATTTATCCAGCCATCTACCAGGACACCAGGGTGATGGGTGAGTCGCCAGATCCTTCTGCAACTGGCCATCTTTGGTGTGTTCATGGTTCGCATATTCTTCATATATTCTTCATATATTATTCATTATTATTCATTATTATTCATTATTATTCATTATTATTCATTATTATCATGATTATTCTCACTTTTAGATACTTCTGGTGTCTTAGGGTCAGGGAAATATCTAATTGGCATATGGGGTCCAGGAGTGGAACGACAAACACAGCGACGACGCGCTGACCCGCATCTGTCTCTATGGCATCGGCGCTCATCGCGTCGAGGTGGAATGCCAAGATGGTCAGAAGTTCTATGTGGTCAGGAGACACTGGTTCTAATCCCTAAACCTAATCCCTAATCCCAATCCCTAATCCTAATCCCTAATCCTAATCCCTAATCCTAATCCCTAATCCTAATCCCTAATCCTAATCCTAATCCCTAATCCCTAATCCTAATCCCTAATCCTAATCCTAATCCCTAATTCTAATCCCTAATCCCTAATCCTAATCCCTAATCCTAATCCCTAATTCTAATCCCTAATCCTACTCCCTAATCCTAATCCCTAATCCTAATCCCTAATCCTAATCCCTAATTCTAATCCCTAATCCTAATCCCTAATCCTAATCCCTAATCCCTAATCCTAATCCCTAATCCTAATCCCCAATCCTAATCCCTAATCCCTAATCCTAATCCCTAATCCTAATCCCTAATCCTAATTCCTAATCCTAATCCCTAATTCTAATCCCTAATTCTAATCCCTAATCCTAATCCCTAATTCTAATCCCTAATTCTAATCCCTAATTTTAATCCCTAATCCTAATCCCCAATTCTAATCCCTAATTCTAGTCCCTAATTCTAATCCCTAATCCTAATCCCTCATCCTAATCCCTAATTCTAATCCCTAATTCTAAATCCTAATGCTAAATCCTAATGCTCAATCCTAATGTTAAATCCTAGTTCTAAATCCTAGTTCTAAATCTTAGTTCTAAATCCCAGTTCTAAATCCTAGTTCTAAATCTTAGTTCTAAATCCTAGTTCTAAATCCTAATTCTAAATCCTAATTTTAAATCCTAATTCTAAATCCTAATTCTAAATCCTAGTTCTAAATCCTAATGCTAAATCCTAATGCTAAATCCTAATGCTAAATCCTAATTCTAAATCCTAATTCTAAATCCTAATTCTAAATCCTAATTCTAAATCCTAATTCTAAATCTTAATTCTAAATCCTAATTCTAAATCCTAATTCTAGATCCTAATTCTAAATCCTAATTCTAAATCCTAATTCTAAATCCTAATTCTAAATCCTAATTCTAAATCCTAATTCTAAATCCTAATTATAAATCCTAATTCTAAATCCTAATTCTAAATCCTAATTCTAAATCCTAATTCTAAATCCTAATTCTAAATCCTAATTCTAAATCCTAATTCTAAATCCTAATTCCAAATCCTAATTCTAAATCCTAATTCTAAATCCTAATTCTAAAT